GACCCAATCCTCTAATTTGTCTAGGTCCCTCTGTATCCTATCCCTACCCTCCAGCGTATCTACCACTCCTCCCAGTTTAGTGTCATCTGCAAACTTGCTGAGAGTGCAGTCCACGCCATCCTCCAGATCATTAATGAAGATATTGAACAAAACCGGCCCCAGGACCGACCCTTGGGGCACTACTCCGCTTGATACCGGCTGCCAACTAGACATGGAGCCATTGATCACTACCCGTTGAGCCCGACGATCCAGCCAGCTTTCTATCCACCTTACAGTCCATTCATCCATCCCATACTTCTTTAACTTGCCGGCAAGAATACTGTGGGAGACCGTATCAAAAGCTTTGCTAAAGTCAAGGAATAACACATCCACTGCTTTCCCCTCATCCACAGAGCCAGTTATCTCATCATAGAAGGCAATTAGGTTAGTCAGGCACGACATCCCCTTGGTGAATCCATGCTGACTGTTCCTGATCACTTTACTCTCCTCTAAGTGCCTCAGAATTGATTCCTTGAGGACCTGCTCCATGATTTTTCCAGGGACTGAGGTGAGGCTGACTGGCCTGTAGTTCCCCGGATCCTCCTTCTTCCCTTGCACTACATGAGCCTTTTTGGACTGTAACCCAAGGGGGCGTGCGGTGTGGCTCGAGCTCACAGGAGTCAAAGCGGCTCCCGCCCGGAGCAGACAGGATGGACGTTTCAATCCCAGTTCAGAAGAGTGCTGTGACGGATCTGCAAAGCAGGGGAGGGGGTACGGCTCCCATCAGCCCCTCCCCATTGCACGGATCCCTCCTTCTGCCTTTCCCATCAGCTCCCACTCCCAGTCGCACTCCAAGCCAGGTCAGGGGAAAGGTGCTGAGCCGGAAGGTGGCTGGGCTCTGGCTGGGGGCCAGGAGCCGCGGGGCAGCTGGAGAGAAGCCCAGGGACGGTGCCAGAGCCGTGCGTGGAACAGGCTGTAAGTGCCGGACGACCCAGTGCTTTGCCTGGCTGATTTCAAAGGCAGCTGTGCAACTGTCCCGGTTCTGGGCCCATTTCCCTCTGCTGCGGCTGGGGAGGCTCTGAGCACACAGAGGCACCAGGTGGGCTGGCTGCAGACTCAGGAAGGTGGTGCTGGGATCCCCATTTGGATTCTGCTTCCCACCCAGGCAGGCTGGGAGCTTTAACATGTTGAATCCTGCAGGTGATGGGCTGGCGAGCGAGAGCGAGGAGGGGGATCCCCAGAAGGAGGATCGGGAGCGAGCGGAACCGTGTGGGATGGTGCTGGGTCAGTCCCAGGGGAACACGTCTGGGAGCCCCGAGGGTCAGCACAACGCAGACAGGCCGTACCGGTGCCAGGAGTGTGGGAGGAGCTTCCGTCAGAGCGCCCAGCTTATCAGACACCAGGCCATCCGTACGGGGGAGAGCCCCCACAAATGCCCTGACTGC